CTTTAATATTTTACTATCTTTTATAACTGTGAGATGTCGACTGGAGTGTAAAAGCTGTAACAGCAATACACATGATGGTGGGCAATCTCCTTATAGTAAATCTGATCATCGCTCTTTTTACGTGAGTATTCTGATGAGTAATCAATATTCAAAAGTTTTAAAAACCATAAAGTAGGAAACAAAACGAAAATCAACTGCATACTGTTTATCAAAACAGTAATTTTGTGGAAGATTAAAAGACTATTTATTAGTATACCTTCTGTGAAGTTTTCTATTTCCAACAGCAAATTTTTATAATTGATAATATTGACACTTTGACTTACTCAAAAATTCGACTTGTTTAATCAGAATTTTAAACACATGAATTTATTCAATTTACATCTCGTAACTAGGACAAAATTTGAAAAAGTTCATGAGAAATCGGCCCTTATATGGCAATATGAGCGGTATCACGTGATTCAGGACTTTAGACACCGGATGTTTGCAAACCTGCACTTCCTCATTCTGCCGTGTCGCCTAGCCATGCGAGCACGTAAGCTCAGAAGAATCTAAATTAATCTTGTTTTCATAATGATTAATTCATTTCATATCTCAAACATTTACAAGTGTGAAGATTGCTTTGATTTATATTTCTTTTTATTGATGATTGATTGATTAAATTTAAAATGTTATACTATTTACAAGTGTGTAGATTTCTTTCTCATTGATAAATAATTCTTACGTTTCAGAGTGTGCTAAAAACAGTGATAAGATCAGAAAGGAAATGAAGCGTATTCGTGAACGTCAGATTCTCCAGTACATTATGGCGGGGAGATCCCTGGGCAAGTGACGGGAATACATGTAATAACGAACCCTGTAATAAACCAGGGTGTGTTCATATATGATGATAAAAGTATTCACATTGTTCCTAAGATGCTCCAAAATTTGATTTGATAGTAAAAACAGTATATCCAAAGCTTTTTAGTTTGAAATGTTATTTTACTGAGTATGATTTGAAAGATCAGTGAAGGTCAATGTCATCAAAGTGGTCCTTCAACGAGAAAAAGACTAATGGTAAAGCAATGGATCCGTTAATTGGTATATACTTTCAAACAAATTCCCGATGTATATACATGTAATGCATGCAATTTTTGTATATTAAACCTGTTAAACATACGAATCTTCCAATTGGTATTCAAATATGCAATAATCCTTGTTAATTTATATTATATCCTGTTTATATTTTCTGTAAAACTCCATGTTACATTTGCTTATATTTTTCTTGTTTTCTTGTTTTTGTTTATGTTTTCCTTTATGTTTTTGTACATTTTGTTGTCTTTTTATGCATTTTTTAAAAGTATTTTTTTTAATGTTTGTGTAAGATCATTTAACTCAGATCCTTTTCAAGTATGTACTAAACTGTAAGCATGTGATGGTGTGTTTTTGACCCAAGCTTGTATCTTTTTTTCATAATATGTTTTCCCTCTTACATGTAGTATATGAAGCTTTTTTCTTTCAATGTATTTTGACTTTAAGTACAGTCCTATAGGAAAATTATAAAAATCATACTAGTAGTTTGAAAAGCAAATACGAAATGTATTTCAAACATGGTTCAAAATATTCATTTTTACGTACCCTTTTTTAGTACAAATATTGATAATCATATTTCTATTTAAATATTTTTAATCATTTAGATGGTGAAGAAAAGTATTCAATCTCAAAGTCCATTAAACAATACAAAATAGGAGCAGAGCAAACACGGACCTCCGACACACCAGTTGGGATAATGTGCCATAGAGGAGTGAGCATCCCCTGCTGACCGGTCACATCCGCCGTGTGCTCCTTGTCATGATCAGGAAATAACGGCAAAATCCGCCGTCAATTCAGTCTATAAATAATATGACTAACAATAAGTATGAAAAACGTCAGTCAGCATTTTGACTCAATGATAAATTGTATTTGCTGACAAGGTCATTGTATCGCCCACAGAACTTACAAAATGATGACTTTAAACAAAAATGCTGATATTCCTGTATCATTAACTTGCTTTTCAATAATTTACCTTGTTTTTTTTTTTTACCTCAGTTCAAAGTTGACTATTAAAATAGATTGGGGTCATTAAAAATCTTATTCTCACTAACCACTGGTCTAGAAAATGTGATGCTTATGTGGACCCAAGAAACCTTGGGTAGTGCAGATCCTAAATTGTTAAAATAATGACCCCAGGGGGTAGGACTGGTCAACAATAGGGAATCCACGTCTTACATGGAAATATAAAGGACAAACTATTGAAATATTCTTCTCAAACACTATGTGGGTCAGATAAACTGAAACGTATGTCAAAATTTCCTATAAAATCTTAATCTTGAAGATGAATCTTGTTTACATGCTTATATATCACTAAAATTATGATCAGGAAATTGATTACTACAGTCACTGGATATATTTTCTTTTAAACGGAAACACACCCTTTTAAGTTGTTTGTTTTAATTTTCAAACAATAATATATCAATTAGGAGATTTTTTTTTACTTCAGTAGGGATTATCAAAGAAGTCTTTGATCAACTTATCTTTTAAATTTCAATTTAAAAAATGCAGATGAAACAATCCGTCTTTTTCTTAAAGTTTAATATGCCAATCGACTCGGTTAATATAAGTAATTTTCTTATTCGCAAATGGGTCCAGTCGTGTATTCCACCATATTACAAGTTAGAGTCTACACCTATTATTTCCTACAAGTAAACATCGACCATTACTTCAAAACTGTTTCATTATACAGAAACTTGACCGAGTACTATTTGAAACATAATCCTCCATCGTGTTCATATTATTTTTCACCCTATAACTATATACACTTTCCTGTGACATAGGAGTTATTCCCCTTAGCCGCCATATTGTATTGCAACATTCACAGAACCCTTCATTATTCAAGCATTTTCAATTTCTTTTACTGGTTATTGAGGTAAAAAAACCCCTATTTTTTATGAATATACGTTAAAACCTCAATTATTTTATGATTATCACATTGTAAATATGTTCTTCCATATATTTCTTGCATGCCTGTTTAAAACTGGTTGCTCAAAGATGTGAATTCACTCCTTTGTACAACAAAATGGCTGCTAAGGAGAATAACTCCAGGGCAAAATAGATCAAAGGAAAAAGATACGCCAGAGCCGGCTAAACGAATGAACAATTTCAGGAACGAGGTTAATTATTGACAAACAAGTTGATGAAACAAGATTTTCAGCAGCCACATTTAAAGTCTGCATTTCCAAAGTTCTATTGTCTATACAAAGACCTCCGCAGTAAATACAAGTTATTATTGAGTCAAAAATTAATTGAAAACTAATTTTTAGGCTATTATTTACACACTGTATTGTTGATGGGATTTTTCCGTTATTTCCTGATCATGACAAGGAGCTTACGGTGGGTGTGACCGGTGACCAGAGAATGCACTCTTCGTCAGGGCACCTGATCCACCTTAGATGTTTTGGATGTCTGTGTTAGCTTCGCCGTTACCCCAGCAGGCATTTCAACGTTGATTCAACGTTGAATCAACGTTGCACTTCAACGTTGAATCAACGTTGAATTTTGGTTGCATATGAAAGTTGAGGGAACGTTGAGACATAACGTTGTTTCAACGTCAATTTTCAACGTTGAATAAACGTTGAAAATGGGTTGAATTTTTGGTTGATTTAGGGTTGATTTTTGGTTGCAAATGAAAGTTGAGGCAACGTTGAAGCTTCAACGTTGTTTCAACGTCAAATATCAACATTGAACAAAAGGTGAACATTGGTTGAAATTAGGTTGAGATTTGGTTGAAATTTTTCGGTTGTACAAACGTTGATATTTGGTTGAAATCACGTTGAATTCATATTACATTTTGCTTTATAAACAAATACATTTCAAATTCTAATAAAATTTTTTATTCAAGTTGCGTAATATTTATATAAGTTGTAATCCAGTATTATGGTTGTCAGAGAATTTGTTTTACATGTATTTTCAAGACAAACACAAATTCGGATTCAATCACCGAAGCTCAAAAATCACTGCTTGACAAAATTTATATTCCTAGTGAAAAATTGGGTCACAGTAATCACATCCATGTCCTTCAAAGTACGCGTCTGTCTTACACTACTAAGTTCCACAAAGTGGCGGATCCATTGATTTTAATCACAGGCCTTTGGATCGCTTTAAAAAAATTGTGTGTGTAAAAAAAAAAATAAAGGTACTGAACTCTTACACTGGGTACCTAATTTCGCTAATAAAATATTTTTTATTCGAATGCTGTAAAATTCTACTTTCTATTTAAATCTATTCATAGATAAACATTCTTCAATTCTACCAAAGCTCATTCCAAAATTCTATATATTTCTTGAGATATTCTGAAATCAATTTCAAAAATGACCTACTTTCTTTTACTCGACATTAGCTTGGGCCCCTGGCCATTCACATGTAAACAGACGGTGTTTGAAGTGCGGCGAAGAGTTGCATAGTATTTGCAAAATCTTTCAACAATTTAAAGTTGATTTCTTACTCCAGATTGTAACGTTAAGTCCGTAATAATATTCCTTTCGCGAAAAATTCATTTGAAAACGTCTACATCAACAACTACCGCCATGTTGATTATGAATGTAAATGAAGCCATGGTAGAAAGAATTTTTCCCGGAATGCATTATATACCTTTCGATTTTCAAACAATTAGACCGCTAAAATGTTGTTTATGACTTAGTAACACCATATGATCAAATTAAAGAAAAACCTTGTAAAGCTTGAATGCAAATGAGCAAATATTCTTTGAGTTTATAATAAATTCCGGGGAAAATTTGTCCCGTCATTTCCGCTTTACAATAAGTGTAGCTCCAAGGCCCAAGCTGATTTCGAGTAAAAAAATTGAGGTCAATTTTGAAATTGGTTTCAGAATATCTCAAGAAGTATCAGGAATTACAGAATGAACTTTTATAGTAATGAAGATTGTTTATATTTGAAAAGATATGGATAGAAAGTAAAATTGTAAAGCATTTGATTTAAAAGAATTTTATTGGCGAAAGTAGGTACCCCATGAAAAGAGTTCCATACCTTTATTTTTTTTCAACACCTCAATTTTTTTTTCTAAGCGATCTAAAGGCCTGTGATTTTAATCACGCATATAGTTAAGTCCCATGAATGAAAGAAATGAACAGGAGAATCCACCCTCTAAAGCAAAAGCCTATAGACAAAAGAAATAAAGATGTAAAAGCCATTTGTTCGATAAAATGTACGTAACACGTTATTTCAAACGATAAAAAAAAATATCCATGAACATGATGAATGATTTAAAAAATCAGACAAAGGAATAAATTCCGGTACTTGGATTTACTTAACATGATTAAAAGAATTATAGTTGACTTCATGTTAAAGTTCGTATGAGTATTCTTATAAATAATTATTACTAAAAAAAAATGTTATAGACATACATATACATAGTGTACTTACAAAATGTTGCATTCCTTTGTATAATTTTCACGGGCGAAGAATCTGATGCAATCAAGGCTGACTAATACAATGAATTTCCTGCACCACTGGTTGATTGAACCTTACGACGAACTACAATTAGTTAAATTGTAAAATATATTAGTATACTAGCTTATATTTCATAACCAAATGAATATCAACAAAACACATAATACAAGAACCATGCAAGGATGTGCATTTCACGCAGATTTCAAATATACTTATAAAACAAGAATTAAATGATGAACAGATACTAAAAAAAACATAATTTCTTAAATTCATGAAAAAGAAATAATACTTACTGAACTTACTGAGTTGATATTCCAGCCTTAATCCTTGTGTATATAGCTTGAAAACACATTGAATATGAACAGCAAGGAGACGCACACTTCTTGTCCATCAGTTGAATTCAAATTTTGACCTAGATAAGCTGCAAACAGCTATACTCTGCCCACCAAGAAAATTGCATAACAAGGTTATCCTGACACTGAAACTGACCAACTAAGCGAGAGGCACTCCTTATCTGATATCTCGAAGGTTTTTGGGGAGTGGATCTTAAGTAATGCAACTTGACCGGGGTTAATTGTCAGTGTGAAAATTCTTATGTGTTTATTTGATTTTTTTATATCTTGTGAAAAGAAAGATTATAGAATTAATACACACAACAAAAGCACAATCTAATAAAATAAAGAAGACTTCTTAGATTCCCTCTGTACACGTATAATCTGCGCAAGAGTATACGGCACGGATCCATATGAGTCTAATTTTAAGAACATTAATTCTGAATAATTATTTTGATTAATTCTATAGTAACATGGAATTACAGTGAGATGTTGGATAAAGATGTTATTATTGATTAAAAGCTTATATTTAACATATTTTATAAATATGTCAACAACAAAAATAGCATTCACAATTTATTCTAAAAAATAACCTTTTTTGAAAATAATTGTAATGAAGTGTTAAATGTAGATGCAATGCTTTATATAAACTCATATTTAAAATTTTATAATGGTACTAGCTATTGGCACAACTCTTTTGAGTGATTCAATTTATAATGCATGCGTTTCATTCATTAAGTATAATTACTATATATATATAATATTTTCTAACAATGCATACAGCTGTGTGTATATTGCGAAAAATCACATGGATTAGAAGTTTAAGACGCCTTTATATTTTGAACTTAAAAACTAAAGTGCTCAATACTCGTTACCTTTAGTTTCAGCGTTAAATTTTCCTAACTTTCCTAAAGTTGAAAATATGTTGCCTCTTCCACGTTGTTTCAACGTTGAAATCAAGAGACAGTCTACTTTGCATTTTTAAACCTTGTTTTAACTCTACAATATCAGAAAATATTTAACGTTGAAAATATGTTGCAGCTTCAACGTTGTTTCAACGTTGAAATATCGACGAACATTCAACTTTGAAAATATGTTGCAGCCTCAACGTTGTTTCAACGTTGAAATATCGACGAACATTCAACGTTGAAAATATGTTGCAGCTTCAACGTTGTTTCAACGTTGAAAAAAGGTTGAGGATTCAACGTTGAAACCTCAACGTTGAAACAACGTTGAAATATAGTTGATCAACGTTGCAACCTATATTCCACCTTCTCTCAACGTTGAAACAACGTTGCGTGCCTGCTGGGACATGTATTTTGTATTGTTTAATGTATTTTCAATCAAGCTGTTTGTTATATATCTATATAGTTCCATTAAATCTAATTCCTATATAAATCATTCTAGGACTTTCGTTTTAAAATTACGCATATTTGTCAAATGGGTTGTTTATTGATTCAATATCGGCCCCGATGCAACCTAGTTACCATGACCCCTTCAAGTCAATTGCTAGTTTATAACAAAAATCTTAATCAAGGCAATTTAGGTGGTGTCTCCATTTAGTGAAAAAGTCTCGACCAAAACGTTAAACAATAACGTAGAAAAAATTAATAGAGGTATCAAAAACTGCATACTTTCTTTTTAAAAAAAATAAAATGGGATTGTTTTCTGTTTCATTTTTTTCGCAAGATATATGTAGCTTTCAGAAAAATGTCCTTATTTATCAATATTATACACATCGACATTATGTTAATAAACAGTCTTTTCCAAATGCACCGTTTTAGATAAGAGATGTTTGCCTATCTAAAGCCTATAAAATGTTTTTCTGTTACTTTTTTCGTAAATTATTACTATACATACACTGACGTTCATAAAAATAGACATTGCTATTGAAGAACGGGTAAGCACGTGTGAATATGATATTACATCTGTTATTAATCTATTGAAATGGTGGTCACTCTTTAACATTTAATAATAGATTTATTTTTGTAACTTTTTTTTTTAATTTTATCTTTCTTCATATCGAATATCAATAAGCCTACATATTGATGTTATCGGTGCCTACAAAGCTCAGATCTGCTATCTTCCGTTCTTTTGAACAATTTGATTGGTTTCTACTGTCATAATTATCACAAGTCAGATCTTCTTCCTGCTCCGTTGTAGTTGTATGTAAACTAACCAGTTAGTAAATAGATATCTTTTAAGATACGTTACCGACCCCACTTTTCACACAAATAAACAGAGCAAATACATGATAAATACATTGGGGGCCACGCTAACAAAATCAGTACATGTAACAATTGTCTATACTTGTAAGGCTCATTTTACGGAATAAAATGTATTTTAGAGGAACTCAGATTTAATTCTACAACGGGTAATCCAATGTATACTCATGGTTACCTTTCTAAGGAGGAAATCCTTCAAATCATATGTCAGTTTTGAAAAATGAAAATAAATTACCACATCTATATTGAATAATGAAACTTCATAAATATCCTTACAAGCAAAGATACATAGCGGCTTACAGTAAGTGTTCTATCAAACCTCTTTCTTTACGATAACAACAATTGAAGGAGAAACTTCAAGAGCACTGCTCAACAAGAAATTCGATCGTGGTATTAATCAGATGTGAATACTTGTATTAACCTATTACAAGGAACTTTTCAAACATTTGAAATCAAAAACTGTTAACAAAATAAACAATATCAAAACTTTATATAAAATTATTCAGGATAATTATTTAAAGTATTGACTTTCTTACGTCATTTACAGCTGTTTTTCAATTAAAAAAACGCAGACGAGCTTAAATTTACTCACTTATAAAACTCATGAATTTACTAACCTTGTCATTGGTCATTTGCAAAATCATTTGTTAAAAACACATTTTCATTGTGCAGACAAGTAAAAAACTCTGATGTTAACATTAAAAAGATGCTCGAGTAACGGATTGAAAATTATATTTATTTATCTTTTGGACACCAGGTCCTCCAACATCAATAGGAATTCCCATGGATACTTAATGTACCCCTTTATAAGCAGACCTCTTTTTGTATTCATGTAAAGCAGAAATTATGCGAAATCTTATATAGATATATGGACGACATATTGTCAATTGACAATGGTAATTTCCGTTCTAATGTCGATACAATATATCCTGGTGAGCTTGAGATAAAAATTACCACAGAGACTAACACATCAGCTTTAGATAAAAATTACCACAGAGACTAACACATCTGTTTCATTTTTGGATATTTTACTTGAAAAGACGTAAAAAGAAATCAAACACCCATGCTCTATGATAAACGTGATGGCTTTTCAATCGTCAACTTCCCTTACTTGTGCAACATAATACCTTCATCGCCTGCATACATAGTTTATATATCTCAGTTGATTCGAAGTGCAAGAGCATGCTCTACGCATAAAAAATCAATAAGGAGGTAAATTATTGACAACAAGTTGATGATACATGAATATCAGCAGTCTCGTTAAAAGTTATCATTTTGTAAGTTCTATGGTCGATACATCAAATATGGAGCGGGGATCAGGTGCCATGGAACACGTTATCATCCTCTGCCGACCTCTCATACCCGCTGTGTTCTCCTTGTCAATAACGGGAAATAACGTGGACAACCCACTGTGTGAAATTTGGCCTAACAAGAAGTTTGAAAAAAAGTCAGCCACTTTTTTATTTAACCCTTTCTCTTCCGGCACATTTTAGGTGATTTCGGAGACTTTTTGATTTGGCATTATTAAGTTATTTCCAACTTTTTTATTCAAGGAGAAAGCTAAGTATATTGCATACCATTTTGTAGGGAATGTCTTAGAGATGATATTTTATGACTATTCAGATACTCCAGATCTGACCTTATAAGTAAAAATGGAGGTCAAAGGTCAATTAAGTGCAAAATTTTATGGGATTTTTTGATACTTTTTAATCTTCAAGCTAAATATTTACTATGATGTATGTTGAAATAGGAAATTTTGGATATACTCACAAAAGAGCATGATACTGTACTACATGGAACATATAAACTTTTATTTCAATTCTGCATATAACTACTTAAAAGTGGTTGCTTAGCAACCCACAATTTTTTTAATTTTCGGGCAAGAATTTTCGTTTATTACTCATCCTAGACACATTTATGCATCCCAGCACAAATAAAAGTTAGATGTGAGGTCATAAAAGTACAAGGGACGAACAGCAGATACATTGTCTTAAAGTTTGACCTCATTAGAACTATTTTTAGGAGGTCAAAGGTCAAAAAGTGCAAAAGTTTCATCAATTTTTTTCAACACTTTTCAATATTCTTGCCATAATTTTACACAATGGATGCTGAAATGGAAAATTCTGAATATACTCTCAAGAAGGGGTCAGAACTGCAATATCCATGCATCATTTTAGTTCAAATATCTGTTTAATGACCTTTAAAAGGTTGCTAAGCAACAACTTTTTAAAGTTTTTGGCTAGAAACATGCTTGTTATTTCACATTCTTGACACATTCTTGACACTTTTTGTATATTTTATGATATTGTATGTAAGATATTGGCCATAAAAATGAAAGAACATTTTTGTATTAAAAATTGACCTTGACACTCTTGTTCTTAAGGCGGTCAAGGTCATATCAGTTCAGAATTCTGCTTTAAATTGTAAGTAAATATCAATTTTGAAATGCTTCAATCATGGATAAATCATCTAATAGTTGACGTGATAAAAATGGCAAAAGACAAAATTTCCAACAAAGAATTCTGGTCTGCTTCTTACAAACCCCTAGCAAAACATGTATACAATCTTTTTGTTAAACAAAAAAAATCCATTCTCTTGATGCCATTAAAAATAATCTTTATTTTCATGGATTTAATCTAACAAGAAAAAATAAACTTAATGATTTCATTACAAGATTTTTCTGGTATAACAGAGCTTAAGGGGTACAATCAAGACATGACATGTTGTCTTGGAGGGAAATAATAATAATAGATAGCATTGGCAATATTTAACGCAAAACTGTCTAGTCAATAAGTTGAAAATGTGACGTTTATATCCAAATATACAAATCCAGAAATATTGCAAGATGAATTCCAAATCAGACTGAAATCTTCAACAAAATGTTGCAGAGCACTTTTACTTTGTGTCCACCATTCTTTTATCAACTGTCATTTCTCTGTAAGACTGGAGGAAATTCTTTGACTTGTACAAGATATTATTTGCTGTCAAGTACAAGTGATCAGCTTCTATCCTGTAAAAGATTTAAATATTTTGAAACAGATACATGTCATTGTGTATATGAATTATTTGACATTTATAAATAAAATTAAGAATGCTAAAATTACTACATTTATTTGATTTTCCTTTTAAAATTAAAATTGTATTATGTGATTCAAGTAGTTAAATGATATTGATAAGTCAATGTATCAGGACTGATAATTCAACAACCTTGTAGTAAACCATCATGGTAAAATTACTGAACTAAAACAAATAGCATATATAGCCATGTAGGGACACATCAATGTTTCAAAAAAGTAAAAAATGAGATATCGAATTAGACAATCCAATCCAAAGGATTACTAAATCGTTCCCTCGATTCATAATTCGAGATCTCGAATTACACAATCCGATCTTACAGATTACTAATTCGCCCCCTTGATTCATAACTTGAGATCTCGAATTACATACTGGTAATTCGTTTTCACAGATTAATAATTCGAGATCTCGATTTGTTAAGTCAGTCTTCTGATTTTCTCTGTGCTCTTTAATTTCTATGTACAGATACATCCAACCATTTTAATCAATTTGTGCGTTCTATTTATTTTGTTTCAGCAACCGGTCATTTCCAACCTCTTTCATAACTAATTCAACGTATATTTATTTATTTAGGAATATTATGATTACACAGGACCCATATTCACTTTTACTATTTAGGACTTTCAATTATTCTAATATACACGTAACACAAAAACCTCAAAGATTTTTTGTTCTACAAATATCAGTACTAGCATATGGATTTGAAAATGTTCATGTATTTTTCTCATTTTGGACTATAATATGTACCGGGTAATAAAAGGTAGGATGTAAAATACTGCAATATTCTATTCTTTAAACATGTATTACCATATCCGATATGTACAGATAAATAATTTTATTGAAATCATGGGAAGGGTTTACATTCCAAGGGAACAAATCATTTAAACTAGGAGAATCGAGTTATACAATCTGAGATAACGGATTGTGTAATTTGAGGGAACAAATTGATAATCTGTGAGAATGAATTGGCAATTCATTATAACAGATTGTCATTCCGAGAGAATGGATTGTATAAATTGAGAACTCCGTTTACTTTTAGAAATTTTAATAATTCTATGTCCCTTCATGGCTTTCATAGATTGCATACCTGCATGGCTGCCAGGGTTGTAAAAAGAAAGGAGACAATAGACTGCAATGTTACTTTAGGGCAAAATTCCTGGGGCAAGGCTGTTCGTGAGCATGGGAGTGTTGATAAACCATCCAGTGAGTTTGACCACCCATGTATATGATGTACGATAATTGGAAAGTGTCTGAAAAATTGAGAAAATGGAAATTCTAACCACATACTTTATGCAGATTGGAAATACAACAGCAGTCTATAAAAACAGCTTGTTCCATATATCTCGGCATTCATTAAAATAGATATTATGTGTTTAAATTATGTGTTTGTATGAATAATCAAGCATCATAAGTATTATGTGTTTCAAACACTTATTTTTCAAAATATAAAGCAAATGTTTATAAACTTGTATAAATACAATATCATGAGAATGACACAAATGAAATTTGACTTTATTTTTTGAAATTTTAGAAATACAGAAATTTTCAATATCAAAACAAAAATTTACCTGTTCATTGGTGTCCTTACATATTAATTGGCCTTCGTAGTTCATGGTGGGCTTAGCAAGTGGGTATTCACAGATGAAAGTATTGTTGCATATGGTGCCAGCACCCTAAAAATTCAATGTGAAAGTGGTACATGTACACACTGGCTGACTGGTGCACACATACTGAAAACAACTATCCATTATTATGGCAACTTTGATTTTACTTTGAACTTACGAGTGATTGTCAAAAGCATCAAATTTCAAAAGCAACACAAAATTGGCTGATCAATACGAAATACGCACACTGAAATATGAAGATCTAGTACATGTGTACATTTAGTAGCTGTTTAGTTTTCTTTAGAACGTGAACTAAGTGCGTTTTAAACTTAAACTATTCAGTCAATATACTCGTATTCTCACCTGCTAATACTAAAGGCATGTCCGTATTATTTGATTCATTGATGTGATGATCTTCGTCGTGAAATAATCATGAAAATTGACGTTCAGATTTCGGATCGCCATCATGTTGTTTACTGCTGCCATAGCGGAAACACGTGGTTATTTCAATTCGTATCAACTCATACAGTGATGAGTCGTATTTATTTATAAATGCGAGTTTTTGTATTGTTAAATTTCGTGCCAATTGTAACACAATGAGCGTAAATTATAATGTTAATTTAAATATTAATTATGTGCAGTATAATTTTTGTTATATTAAAATGATTGTGTTAGAAATTATAATTGATACTATCAGTGTATATATAGAACAGCGGACATTGATACCCTTAATTATGAACTTGTTTACAAACTCTTCGAGATTGGTTATAATAAGAACGTCTTCATTTAACGGACAATTTGTTTTTATGTGTTGTGCACCAACTTTGACACTTTCCAATCAGACTTATGAGGATGATGCACCGATCTAATTTACTAAGGAATGTGCAAGTTCTCCGCTGTCCACATAAATAAAGGACATTGTTGTATCCTATAAGGAGATGGGGAAGAGAACTTTCGTGAGGGGCGGACTATATCAGTGTTAATGAAGTGATTCTTCTATTAACTAATTGTTATGACCAAATATGTAATTCCCCACTTATAAAAGTTGTGTACACTGAGTATCAGTAGCTTTTTACCATCCTAGCTACGAGACGGACTATGAGAGCTTATACGAACTTAGCTCTGAGACCAATGTGACATAATGACTATGTGAGCTTTCACCATCTTGGCTCCGAGATCTTTATAATTGAACTTTTTGATGTACCATTGTTTGTTTGATACCTTTGCTGTGACTTTTTAATAAAACTATAAACTTACAAAAGTCTTCTTAATCCAAACACATTGGCTAATTGTGTTATATAACGGATTAATTGGTGCCCGTGACCAGGACCAGAACGGGAAGTCTCACAAGGCTGAAAAGTGAAAAGAAACCCAAGACTACTGTAAGTAACTGTTTTATTATACCTTGATTTTACGGTATGGACAACCAAGACATGGGGAACGGTTTCGACTTAGGGGGTGCCTTTGTGACCTTGTCGACTGTAATAGAAACTAAATTTGATGGTCTTGATTCAACAGTTAAAGGTTTATCAAATGCAATTGGTACAAATGGGATTTCAAATATAATAACACCGTATGAGGGGGATCCTAGCAAATTTAAAGATTGGGTAAAATCAATTGAAAAGTATTCTTTCATGAACAATCTATCAGATGAAAAAGTCAAAATTGTGGCTTATGGTTCTAGCCGTGGGGCGGTTTCAGACTTTATTCAACGAATTCTCACGAATAACCCAGGGGGGACCTGGAATGCTTTGAAAAATGAATTATCCACAAGATTTGCTGAAGTAACTGATTCTCAACATGCGTTCATGTTATTACGAAAAGTTCACCAAAAACCCGAAGAAAATGTTCAGATTTTCGCTGAAAGATTATTGTCATTGGCCGAAGAAGCATATAAAGGTCTCGAAGGGGGACCTTCAGTTGAACGTCAATTGATTGGAATATTTGTCGATGGTTTATTACAAGACAGATTGAAATTCAAGGTCATGCGTGAAAACCCTGCAACTTTGCAAGCAGCTATAAATTGTGCTATGGCTGAACAAAACCTGTATAAGCGATTCGAACTCAGGTCGGGTACTAAGCAGACCCATATACCCATGGAGGTCGACCATTTTAGATCTAAACGCCCTTCAAAAACAACACCAAAGAGAAAAAGTATTTATTCAGTAAATAGAGCAGCAAGTTATCAGAGTGTTGAATGTTGGAATTGTGGAAAGAAAGGACACATTAAACGAAATTGTAAAAATCAAACTAAAGATCAGTTAAACGAGTAAACTCCTTCCAAAATAGGGCCATTGTAAGGAGTAAACATTTGCATGAATCAAAGAATAAAATTGAAAATAAAAACATTCCAAATTTCAAAATTAATATTGCAGGAAATCCAAATTCTTGTATTATTAAGATTAACGGTCAGAAATTTCGCGCACTCATTGATTCTGGTGCGGAAGTCTCTTTGATTCATTCAAAAGTTTTTAGGTCCTTTCATAACATTCCACAATTATCTAAAGAAAGAGTCAATTTACAATCTGTAAATGGTGATACGTTGAAAATCAAAGGAAAAACAAATGTCAGTTTTCAAGTTGGCGGCATGACTTTGAATCATCCATTTTTTGTCATTGAAGAAATGAATAGAAATGTCATATTGGGGCGCGATTGGTTGATCAAGAATGGCGTGCGCTTATATTATGATTTAGGGTCTTTTAGAATTGGGAAAACGTACATTCCATTTCAAGAAGATATTCATATCTCTGCAGTTGTGCGAGCGACTAGGAAATCTGTTATCAAACCTCAAACTGCGCATGTTTGTTATGGCAAATTGAAAAGAAGTTTTGTTACAACTGATGATTTAGTTGAAATCTCATCACTTGATAATGGTTTTGTGGGAGGCGAACCAGGGCTAATGATAGGCAATTCTTTAACAAAAGTTAAAAATAACAACAGATTGCCCATTTTAATTGTAAATAACACCAATAAAACAATTAAAATTAAACGAGGCTGTCCGATTGGTAGAGCAGAAAATGTAAATAAATCAACAATCGCTTCCATTAATAAAATCGAGAATGCATGCAAAACCTCAAATCAAATAAACTTAGAGCAAGTTGATGTGCCAGCAGAGAATAAAACGAGAATTGCAAAATTATTAATTGCTAATAAAGATCTTTTTGCTGAAAGTGAAACAGAATTGGGTCAAACAAGCACGGTTAAAATGAAAATTGACACCGGAGATCATAAACCGATCAGACTGCGACCATACAGAGTACCGTTAAATAAACGTCAAATTGTCGAAAGAACAGTAGATGAAATGTTAAGCGCCGATATCATACGAAGGTCAAAATCTCCGTGGAGTTTTCCGATTGTTGTAGTAGACAAAAAGGACGGGTCGAAAAGATTTTGTGTTGATTTCAGACAACTGAATAAAATAACTAAAATGAATTCATACCCTTTGCCGTTGATCGATGACATCTTAGCTACTTTGGGGAATGCTAAGTATTTTTCAAGCTTAGACCTTAAATCCGGTTATTGGCAAGTTGCTATGGATGAAGCCGACAAAGAAAAAACAGCTTTTACTTGTCACAGAGGTTTATTTGAATTCAATGTAATGCCATTTGGGTTATGTAATGCTTCACAAATCTTTTCACAATTAATGAGCGAGGTTCTTCAAGGTTATGAACACTATGCTACCGCTTATCTTGACGATGTGTTGATCTATTCTGCAACGTATGAAGATCACATAAAACATATTCAGAATGTGTTTGATAGGCTTAGGCAACATGGATTGAAATTAAAACTGAAAAAATGCAGTTTTCTGAAAAATGAAACAAAATATCTAGGTTTTGTTATTGATAAAAACGGAATTAAACCAGACGAAGATAAAGTTAAAGCGATTCGGCATGTGCCTGTACCAAACTGTGTTAAAGACGTGAGAAGTTTTTTAGGGATGTGTAGCTATTACAGAAGGTTCATACCAAACTTTTCAAAAATAGCCGAACCACTAATTGACTTAACAAAAAAGTATGCAAAATTCAAATGGAATGAAATGTCTCAAAGAGCGTTTGATTACTTAAAAGAAAGTTTAACCGTGGTTCCGTTGTTAGCCTATCCAGATTTAAACAAGGAATACATTTTGTATACGGATGCTTCTGACAAAGCAATAGGGGCGTGCTTGGTTCAAGAAACAGATGAACACGATGACGTCATTCATGGGGTTAAAAATGAAAAGCCAATTTATTATTTGTCAAACAAACTGAGCGATACTCAGACGAGATGGTCAACGGTAGAAAAAGAAGCATACGCAATTCATTACGCGTTACAAAAATTAGACCACTACTTACACAATGCAAAGTTTGTGATAAAAACAGATCATAAGCCGTTGAAATACTTATTGGAAGCGCCAATGAAAAACAAAAAGATACAACTTTGGGCTCTGAGTATAGCTGGTTACAATTGTAAAATAGAGTACATCGCAGGAACAGAAAATACGTGCGCAGATTTATTGTCGAGATTGCCAGACGATCCTGAAAGGAATAAAGAGGAAAACGAGAAATTTGTTGACCCTGATGTAAATGATAAGACATTTGAAATAAATTTCTTGGATTCAAATTCGTTTGATCCTAAACAATACGCTAGTTGCGAACTTGAAAGACCAGATCTACCTTTCAAAAATGACCTTGAAATTTTAAATGAAGAAAATGTTGACATGATCAAAGAACAAATCAAAGATCCAGAAATATTAAAAATCAAAAATACCATCTTACAAGGAAGGGCCGATAAAACAATCTTAAGTAAATACATGCTAATAGATGATGTTGTGTATTTCCTAACAAATCTGGACCATGATCCTATCGTACGCTTGTATGTTCCTCAACACTACAGGGATGGTGTCATTAAACAATACCATGACGATATTAAGCATATGGGAATAGACAAAACATTTGACTCTATTAGGCAAAAGTATTACTGGCCAAACTTGTATCAAGAAGTTTACAGTTATGTAACTAAGTGTGTTACATGTTCTATGAGGTCCTTAAAGAAGTTAAAACCACCACTTCAAGAGACAGACATACCTCCATATCCATTTGCAAAAATTGGGTTAGATTTGTCGGGCCCATACCCTCGGTCTTTATCAGGGAACAAATATATAGTGGGGTTTGTTGATCTATTCAGTGGCTGGCCTGAGGCTTTTGCTGTGCCAGATAAAACAGCAGAGACAATTGCTCATTTGATTTTAGAAGAAATCTTTCCGAGATATGGGGCGCCTTTGCAAATTGTCACGGACAATGGGACAGAAAATGAAAACAAAATTGTCAGAGAAACATTACAAGAACTGAACATCTCACACGTTACTACATCATATTACCATCCACAAAGTAACGCGAAAGTTGAACGATTTCATCGCACAATGCATGATGTTTTGTCCAAGAAATTACAAGATAATCTGACGACATGGGACATACATCTCAATCAGACATTAGCTGCAGTTCGTTTTCACATCAATGAATCGTCCAAGTTCTCACCCTTTTTCTTACTG